GAATATGGAAAGCTAGAAATGATCTGATATTCAATAGTAAGCAATGGGGAATTCCTCAAATTATCCATCAAGCCATAGTGGATTATAGATTATGGAATGAAGCTGCTAAGTTCACAAAAGAGGTTCAAATCAATATTCAAAACCATTCATCATCCTCTTTACAGCAAACTTTATCACATGCATCATCCTCTTTACAGCAAACTTTATCACATGCATCATCATTATATTGTTGTATTGATGCTTCATTGATAGATGAAAAAAAAAAAAAAAAAAAAAAAAAAAATGCAGGCATTGGATGGTTCTTATGGGATGGCCAAGGTAAGCCTATTCTCAAGGGAGCATCGTCGATAACAGCCACCGGTTCATCACTAGAAGCAGAGGCCATAGCTCTTAAAGAAGCTCTCCTCCAAATGAAGATCTTGGGCTATGACAATGTTACTTTCTGTGGGGACTCTGCTGAGATATATCGTTATCTTGAGAGTACAATTTGTCGTCGGAGTCACCTTCCACGACCGCATGCTGCTATACAAGGCCATCTACAAGATATACTAGGCTTAGCAAGAAGCAACTACACCTTCAAACACATAAACCGTCAACAAAATGTTCAAGCTGATCTCCTTGCAAAACATGCCAGAATAAACCATTCTCCTTATTAGGCCTGGGCATATGGGTAACCCGTTCGGGTTCGGATTGAATGGGTAATGAATTTATGGTCCATTCGGGTATTCCTATGGTTTCGGTTCCGGTCCGGTTCGGGTATTATCGGGTTCGGGTCGGTTTGGGTAATACCCGAAGTTTAAAATCACTTTACATACTCAAATGATCAATAAAGAGAATAGAACATCAAATATGACATTTAAATACTAAATCCAATCCAAAATAACAAAGATGACTATTTCACTCTTAAGTGTTAAGAGTAGATTCTAATTATCTATATACATATATAGACATATGTGTATTGCATATATATAAGTATATAACTATATAAGACTATATATCTAATTATCTATATACATATATAAACTCAAACGTCAAAAGTCACAAAACCTAAAACCTAGGACATACATATAAGGATTTTAATATCTCTAGCCCCTTTGGGGAGAATCAATTTTTGGAAAACCCCTCTTTATTCTCACTACCCCCTCTCCTTCCCAATTTTTCCATAAACCAATTCTACCCCTTATCCCTTTTATTCAACATTTAATTTAATACCAACACATTTTTTATTCAACCAATCAAAAATTTTATCTCTCTTCTCTCATTTAAAAAAACAAACCTACTAAATGTCTCACTTTTTACGATATTAAACCTACGAGACTTTCTTCTTCTTCTTCTTTTTCTTCTTCTTTTTCTTCTTCTTCTTCTTCTTTTTCTTCTTCTTCTTCTTCAACAGCTCCGATGTTGCAGCTCCGACGTTCTTCAGCAGCTCCGACGTTGCAGCTCCAACGTTCTTCTTCTTCTTCTTCTTCTTCTTCTTCTTCTTCTTCTCCACCTACCATTAAAGCTCACCATTAAAGCTTGCATCTCCAAAGACATATCTCTTCTCTTATTCTTCTTGTATTCCCACCATATTGTAAGGTAAGTATACTTGTTTCCTTAGTGTAGTATGATTAAGTTGAATTCGTAGCTCGAATAGGGTTATTTATTGAAATATTTAGGATTGCAGATTTGGGACAACTGAAACCACTGGGTACAACTAAGTAGAATATTTACGGAAACCCTAAGTTTGGTGCAACTGGGACAAATGTGTACAACTATGTTGATGGTCTGCTACGAAAGTTATGAAATTATAGGCCGTTTTTTCTCTCTGTTTTTTTCAGGGATAATGAAAAGGAATTCGATCATACTCCCAATCTCCGGCACATGATTTGTGCTCAAAGTATTATTGGATCGAGCTTTGGGTTTTGGCGTATACGAGGACAATTTATCCGGTTCCCCATAATAGTCAATGGGTTCTTCCTGGGGAGATAATGCAACTGTTTGCATATCCTCCAGATTATGAGGTAAAACAAGGAAGAAGGCAAGAAACACGATTCTCCTCCGTTGGAGAACATAGAGGAAGAGGACGTAAGAAGAGGTCGCATGGATCGAGCGGTTTGGGCGTTGATGGAGACGATGCGGGGGACCAAGGTTGATTTCTCAGTGCTATTTATTAGGTTAATTTAAGAAACGATGTTGTTTGTATTGGTTTTGTTTGTGAAACTTATATGTTCTGTGTTGTACAATTAAGTTTTAGCAGGTACAACTATGGTTGATTTTCTTCTCATATCTGTGCAAATTTTGTCAGTCTGGGTACAACTAAGTACCATAGGTACAACTAAGTTCTAATGCCTTAGCCAATTTTCAGAATTTTATATAATATAAAAATTTAAAACCAAATTAAAAAAACTTAAAAAATGCATACACGATGGTAATGAAACTACACAACAAGTTTTTGACAAAAAAATTCATATTTTAAAAAAATACTGAAATTCTTACTCAAAATCCCACATTCATACACTAACAACCTTATACTTTCATGGTTACTTTGTAGATTTGAACTAAAATTTTATAAATTTTTGAAATACTTGTATTTTGATAAATATAAAAGCACAGATACAAATTAATGGTATTTTTATGAGGCAATATCATCGGTTCTACCAACAAAAATTAAATTAGAGTTGATAACAACTAGATTTACTAAAATCTCTATATTGTACAACTATGAGCAAAAATGTGCAACCGAGTACAACTGTACAACTATGAACAAATTTGAGCTATTATTTAATAATTGTTTTCAAAATAACGGCGCCAGGTATGCCATTTGTCAGATTTTTTTCAAAATAACGGCGCCAGCCGCCAGGTATGCCAAAATATCAACTAGATTCACTTTTTTTTTTTTTTTTTTTTCCAAAACCCTTACAAACCTACATATTTGTCAGATTTTTTGATTAATTTAGATTTTTTTTTTTTGGTTCAAATCCCTTAGATTATATTCAATACATAGATTCATACACAAAAAATATTAAGATTCAGATTAAAAGATTCATACATAATTAGAATCAGATTCAAAGATTCATACATAATCAAAAAACATAAACCCAGAAACATAGTTGTACCTAATCGTACCAGTTGTACCTAAACACTTAGATTTATACATCAACATGAGAGACCAGAATAAGGCTCTTTCTCCTTCTTCTTTCTTCATAAAGTAAGACTTAGATTTATACATCAACATCAGAGACCAGAATAACATTCACAAATAATCAAAAAACATAAACCCAGAAACATAGTTGTACCTAATCGTACCAGTTGTACCTAAACATTCTCCAAAGACGGTTCGACTCCTTGATCTTCCATGACATCATCCACTGCAGCTGCTGTCTCTGAATGCTTTGGATCCGATTGCCTTTGTCTTTTGGGATTTCTAAGCTCGGCAGATTGTTCACTTCTGATTGGTTTGGATCATATTGCTTTAGTCTTTTGGATCTTCTAGGAGAAGATAATCTTTTCCTTCTAGAACTAGATCCTCCTCCTCTAGTAGTAGTAATTCTCCTTAGTTCCTGCAACAACACATGATATTCAATATCAAACATTCAAAGGATAAACAATCTCATAATCTTTAGTTCTTAACTCATTTCATAAACCATCTATACGGAACAAATTCATCAAATCCGAATTGTAATCATACAACTAGTCACAGTGGCTATTAACAGAGGCAATTTCAAATCCGAATTGTAATTCAAATCCAAATTGTAAAACTCTCACAGAGAAGAGGAGAAGTTCTCAGAAGAAATCAAAACCTAATTAAACCCAACACAATCAATCGAAATTAGGGATCTAACAAATGAAATTCCATCAAAAATGCATCTGTTTCAAACAAAATCAAAGAGAACTACATCTCAAACTTTCATAGAGAAGAAGAAATCAGAACAAATCAAAACCTAATTAAACCCAACACAATCAATCAAAATGAGGGATCTAACTAATGAAATCTTACCAAGAGAAGACACGCCGGAGTTCTCACGGCGGATTCTTCGATTTTACGGTGGATTTCACGGAGAAGAAGAGAGAAGGACGATCTTTGGATCAATAGAAACGAGTGAAGAAGGAAGAAGAAGAAGACGAAAGAGTATCGAGAGAAGAGAGAAGAAGAAGGAGACGAAACGAGATCGAAAGAGTTAGGGTTAGAGAGATTCGGAGATTCACAGTCTCTAAAAGAGAGAAAACGAAGAAGATGAAAGAGTGGCGTTAGAGAGTTAGGGTTTGTGTTTCTTGATTTGGGAATTAAAAGATCCGAAATATGACCCAAAATATGTGGATATAGATCCAAAATCAGGTTGGATCAGTAAATAAATCGAAAAGCCCAATTTTATTTGTCTTTTACTATTTTTTTAAAATAAAATAACTAATTAAACACAAGTTTTTTATATGGGGGGGCTAAGTAGAGAATGATTTGAGGACATGGGGCCAACGAGATTATTATCCTACATATAAGTATATAACTATATAAGACTATATATCTAATTATCTATATACATATATAAACATGTGTATTTCTTCGGGTTTGTGGGTACCCTAAATGGGTAACGGGTAATCCCCGACCCGACCTGATACCCACAGGTAATCCAATACTCTACCCAATGAGGTAATTTTCTAATACCCTAACCCGCCCCAACCCGATTTTTTCGGTCCGGGTATCGGTTCGGGTATCGGGTCCGATTTTTTTGCCCAGGCCTACTCCTTATGTTGTCTCTTATATTTTCTGATGTATGATGAAATGTATGATGAAAACGCTGTATCTTGTTTCTTTTATCAAGTGATAATTTGGCCGACAAAAAAAAAAAAAAAAAAAAAAAAGAATTTGTAGTGGAATGTTAGATTTGATGGATGATCAGATTAGTTTGATTGAAGCAGCCTTATTTGTCTCTTAACGGGCTTCTTAATGGGTTTTCTGGTTGTCCACAAATTGTTGACCAAAATGAAGTGACAAAACGAATCTGATTGTTTCTCCCTAATTAATGGCTTCTTTGATTAAACTCTTTTAATAATTATTACTTAACAAAATAAATGGAGTTTACGTGACTCTACTGTCTCTCTTCACCATTCTCCAATCTCTCCCACAAGAACAAAGATAATGTGGATTCACCAAAAATTCAGAGGAAGGACACGACAATGGTGAATTCATACGTTCCTCTTCGTTTCACCATTTTCATCTCCTTCTCCATCGCAGCAGCTTCTTTCAAACTCGCCAGTTCCCAATCTCCGTCTTCCTTGCCAAAAGCCACCGCCGGCGATCTTCTCTCTGTTCTCGGACCATCCTCCACCGCGTCTTGCCTCAACCCAATCGTCTCTCGAGAAATCAAATCTTGTCTCAAATTCCTCGTCCCTTTCAAATCGGATAAATCTAAACCCGAATTGGGACGATGTTCGCTTCGCACTGGACTCTGTTCAGGAAAAATTGACGCCGTTGAGAAGCTGAGTAAGTTTGAAGAGGATAATTCTCTAATCTGGTGGCCACCGGAGTCGGTTCTAGAGCTAGCTCGTCTCGCTGTTGACTCCGGTGGTGATCCCGGTTCAATTCAGCGAACTCTCAATCCCAAAATGATCCCGGTTTGTCTCCAATTTGATGGTTTGATTTGGTTATTGTTCGTTAGATTGAATTGGTTAAATTTGGTTTATAGGTTCCTGATGTTGAACGATCAAGAAGAGATAGATGTCAACTTACAAGAAGTCCTTATGGTCGTCATTTTATAGCAGAGGTAAAAACATAATTTTGAACCATTGTTGGTCTTTGATCTTATGGTGTTGTGATCTGATTGATGATGCTAATGAACAGGAAGTGAACTCATATTTCGAGTTCTTGTTTCATCTAATTGAATCTAGGGGACCTAGTGTTGGATTGAATGTTTCGTTGACTCGATATGATTTGTTTCATGGTCATTTATTTCTTGCCTCAGAATCTGGACGCCTTGGAATATTGTAAGTCTCCTTTTCTTCTCAATGCACACTAACTACACTAGGGTTTTTGAAATAGTACTGTAATGAGGAAATTTACAGAGCAGTGTTGAATTTGTGTAAAGAATCAAAATCCTTGTTGCAATTGAAATTTCTTGAAAGGTTGAACATAGGAAATGATTATTGGAAGAATTTTCTAGCTGGTTACAAGATTTTAGTGAGTGTTGTTGATCAGTATCTGATTGGTGATGGTAGGTTTCATGCTAAAGAGTATCCAGCCTACGACAAGAAAGTGTTTCCTTACAACATGGGATATTGCCAGAGAGGTAATGTGTGCTCTTAGTCTGTGTGACTGTTACTTTTCCTGAAATCTCTTGAAACATAGAAATGATCACATAAATCCCTTAAACCTTTAGTATTATGATTGTATCTCATTTTTGTTAGGATCTGACATGAAATACGATGATTCAATGAACTTGAGGAATATCCTCTGGCTTGCACCATTACCCAGCAACTCTTCTCCAGATTGGCTTGCTCCAGGTATAATTTCTGTATCATCTCTGAGAGTAATAGAAAGAACTAAATTTCCTAAAGATCTGAACACTTCATAGTTTCAAGATGATCTTGCCTTTCACGACTTATGTCTAACATTTCTATTGATTCAAACAAACGCATCCATGAATTCTCTTGTTCATTCCAAAATTTTGTCCTGTGTTACGTTCATTAGAATTGCGAGTAACAATTGTAATGTTACCTTTTAAATCTTCCTTTTCTTTGATTGATCCGTAGGTGTACTTGTGGTGCTTGATGCGCATCCGGATGGAGTCATATACCGAGATCTCATCCCTGACTATGTCAAGTTTGTAAGAACAATATACGAAGGTTTGAACAACTCTAAGCCTTCTTTCATCTTATTCACCCTGTAGTATTTGCTTCATTGTACGTAGCTCACATGGATTATGCACTCAAAATATATTACAAAATTAAATGATTGATTGAAAATTTCCTGTCTTAACCAGATGATTTGGGAACAACCGCGGTTGATGTCAATTACTTGAATGTCGGAACTCACGAACCTGACTATCAGCTTTTCGTGTGCTGAAACCAGTTACAGATTCACAATCCCACAGTTGTCTGATTGAAACTTTGATTAAGATCTAGTTATTGGAGATGGTCAGAGGTTCAAGAACGTTCGAGTTAGTTGATAATTTAGACAGGTTTCAAGTGTATTGTGGGTTGCAAATAGCTTTAACAATCTCTCAGGTAATTGTATAAAGTGTCAGAGGGTTTAAACTTACTGGAAACGTTTAGGATTAGATTTGACATATCACTTGCCTTTGATTCACACAGTTTGTGGTGGTGATGTAAATTAATTAATTTCCAGAGCTTCAATAACATATTAAGGATTAGTTATTTTTCTCCAGATAACCATCTCCAACGGCTGCTAATACACAATTATTATAAAAAGCTCCGATGCCGGGAATCGAACCCGGGTCTCCTGGGTGAAAGCCAGATATCCTAACCGCTGGACGACATCGGATTTATTGACTAGACTTCTCTATGATAGATAATAAAGTACGATAATAAAGTACGAGATTGGAAATATTGTAAAGTTAAGGGACTCGAGTGCAAAACTCTTAAACTTCCCATTGACCTAAAAGACCACCGATTCATTAGAAATCCCTCTCACTGTCAAGAACCCGAGAAGTCGAAAAAGCAAACAGATTTCGAAGTTTCGTCGCCTCCGAGCTCTTACTTCTTCTAATCGTTCACCTTCTTGTGGAAGAGGAAGCCGATCTTCTTAGTATATAGCAAGGTTTCTCCGTTTCTTTCAGATTTTTCCAAATAACCAAATTAGGGTTTTTGTTCTGCTTTCATTGTTGGTTCTTCCGCATCTTGTGGAGGGTTTAATGTTATATTTCTCTTCTCTGATGTTTTCAGGTTCTTTACGGATCTCTAAAAGCTTCTGATTTGAAAAGATGGTAACTTGCTTAACGGACTTAGGGTTTTTCGTTCTTTCTCGTTTGCGTTAAAGTGTCAATTTTTTTTACTCTAGCTTTTGTTTTGGTTTTTAGCTTCCTCTATCGCTGCTCAAAACTGCTCAAGGGCATCCTATGGTAAGTCAAAATTTCGACCCTTGCTTATAATTTAGTTATAATGGAGTTGAGTTTAAGTGAGCATTGCATTAGGGATCTAAAGGAACTTCCTTTTTCTGAAATTTTGAATCCGTTTTGAATTGTGTTGGTAGCTCGTGGAGCTCAAGAATGGAGAGACATACAATGGGCATCTGGTGAATTGTGATACATGGATGAACATTCATCTGCGTGAAGTCATCTGTACATCAAAGGTTACCTTTATGCTTTTATATGTTGAATTGTTGATACAAATATTCATTTGTTAAGACTTTGTGATGAAACTTTGTGTGGTTGACACTCAGATATGTTACTGCTTTGTTACGCTGTAGGACGGAGATAGGTTTTGGAGAATGCCGGAATGTTATATCCGTGGTAACACAATTAAGTACCTTCGAGTTCCAGATGAGGTAATATATACTATTTGTGTATATGCCTCTTGCCTGATCTAGTTTTTTCTTTGTTCCCCTCTCTCTGGAATGATGATGCTTAGCCAAATCAGATATGTGCTCCAAGAGGCATTTTTCTGTTGAACCTTGAGTTCAGCAGATGATGTGCCCTCTTGTTGTAGTGCGTCTTAGACGATATCACAGGGAATGGTTTTGCCTGACCAGAATGTTGACTTACTTTTATCGACTTTGCTGTGTTGTGTTTCTGAATATCTTGAGATACTCTATTTTTAAAATTTTGTTTTCAATCCCTCTATGATCTAACATAATCACTTAAGAAGGACAGTCATATGCTGGTTCTATTTATGTTCTTACTGCTTCAAACTAGATTGAGTTGACTGACTTATTGATTTCTTCTCTCTTCAGGTGATTGATAAAGTACAGGAGGAGAAGAGTCGCACAGGTATAGTATTACTCATGTCATATTGTGCCTTTACTGAGATATGCTTTGAGTTGTTTTAGGTGTTAATATCTAGCCAGATTAGACATTGAGTATACTCCAATTGTAAAACAATGGTTAAGTATATGTGCAGATAGAAAACCACCAGGGGTTGGACGTGGAAGAGGACGTGGTGTGGATGATGGAGGGGCCAGAGGCAGAGGGCGAGGAACTTCAATGGGGAAGATGGGTGGAAACAGAGGTAAAAATACACAGCCAAAATTTGTTATGACCATATCCGTAGTTGTCTGCCACAATTGGATTTAAGCTAAACTCTTGTATTTGTTGTGGAAACAGGAGCAGGTCGCGGGCGTGGTTGATGCAACAAGTTTTTGGACTTTGTCAGTTTCTACTGCCAAATCTGCTAACTTCCCTTGCTAGTATGATTGTGGAGAAAACCAAAAGTTACATAAGAAGTTGGTCTGTTGTTGGTTTTCTATTAAGTATGTAAGGGATAGGGAGTGTGTTTTTCGATTCTCCTTTTTTCATCTTTTGGAAAATGAAATTTGTCTTTTGCCTTTTTGTGCAATTTGTGATGGTATATGAGATATGAACTTCCAATTTGTTTTGGAGAATACTGTTTCATTTTCGCTTAAAATTGAATCCGTTTGGTCTTGAATTAATATAATTGTTATCTGATAAAATCCTTGTGATAAAAATATAATTTGCTACTATCGTCTGACCATTTACGAATAATGGAATATGCCCGAGAATGAATACTTTGGTCGTAAGAATTTATTTTATTTTATTTTTCTCAACACTTAAATAATAGAAATATTTATTAAAAGATTACGTTAGACTTGTTTTTTTTTTTTTTGTCAAATTCGTTCATTTTTACACTTTTATCCGTTATTAAAAAATCCGTGGAGGTAAAAAACGCAAAAAAAAAAAACTTTCAAATTTGTTTATTTTTGTAATTTTATCCGTTATTTTTGATAAATGCAGAATAATCTTACGAACTCTAATATAATATGCAATGTAATGTCAAAGTTTTACGAATTGACGGTAGCAAATAAAGGCTACATTGCATATTATTTTGAATTTGATAGAATTAATCTGTATTTTTTCAAAAATAAAAAATAGTACCCAAGAAAAAATCCATACAAATTAAGGCATGAGCAAAACAAATGGTGCGTTCTACTCGTAGTAGAAGAAGCGATAGTCACCTTCCAAAGAACTGAAAGTGAATGGCGGAAATCAAAGTGGAGAGGAGTCTCGCCGGAAACAACAGACAAAGACTTGCTTCTCTCGACATCTTCCGCGGCCTCACTGTCGCCGTGCGTATCTCTTTCTTCTCTCTACTTCTGCCAAATTTCCAACTCTAAGCTTTTTAATTTTCTACTAAAACATATTTCGAGTTCTGCGTCTAAAAGTTGATGATTCTCGTGGATGACGCCGGAGGAGACTGGCCAATGATTGCTCACGCTCCGTGGAACGGCTGCAATTTGGCTGATTTCGTCATGCCTTTCTTTTTGTTCATCGTTGGCGTCTCCATCGCTCTTTCCTTGAAGGTCAATTAGAAACTCGAAAGCTCTCATAATTCTACAACAGTTTCGATGTTGTTGCATAAAAATTGGATTACGCACCTGTTTTGTTTTCAGAGGATTTCGAATAAATTTGAAGCTTGTAAGAAGGTGTGTTTTAGGACCTGCAAGCTTCTTTTCTGGGGTCTTCTACTGCAGGGTAATTTAACTTTGGCCTGTTAAACTTAGTAGCTTCTTTACTTAATCTAAATTTGGACACTTTATTTCTTTTGCTGTGAAGGTGGATTCTCTCACGCTCCTGACGAATTAAGCTATGGTGTTGATGTGACTATGATGAGGTTTTGTGGGATTCTTCAGGTGTTTTCTCAGGCTCAAGATCCATCTTTATGTATTTATGTCCTGTAACCTAGAAGGTTCATGTTTGTCTTATATCTGTTTTCATGTAGAGGATTGCTTTATCCTACTTGGTAGTAGCATTGATCGAAATCTTCACAAAGGACTTACATGAGGAGAATCTGTCAACTGGAAGGTTGTCAATATTCAAGTCATATTATTGCCATTGGTAAAATACCTGACATTTGAGTTAGTCAGAATTAAAATTTCATAAAAATCAGACTGAGAGTTTCAGATTAATCTTGTTTTTAGTGTATTCACAGGATTGTGGGTGTATCAGTTCTCGTGATTTATCTGGCTACACTCTATGGAACTTACGTTCCTGACTGGGAATTTGTTGTCAATGATAAAGATAGCATTCTGTACGGGAAAATCCAATCCGTAAGTCTTTCGATGTTTAGGAGAATGAGACTATTATTATGTCTTGTGCACTTCATGATAAATTCAGTGAATTCTTCCTAGGTATCATGTGGAGTGAGAGGAAAGCTAAACCCTCCTTGCAATGCTGTTGGATATGTTGACAGACAAGTTTTAGTGATCAATCATATGTATCACCATCCTGCGTGGAGACGATCTAAGGTTCAATATCCAATTTCCCTTTGTGCTTGCCTCTAGATTGACCATGTTAGCAATTTCTGACTGTGAAATGTTTTATGTCAATCCTTGTGCCTTGAGTATTTATGTCATAGAAGATAAAAGGAAGGATCTATATATTAGTGATATATTTCTCATGTCAATGGACTCAATCATAATGTGTTCTTTTGAGTTTTAGGCTTTCACCGATGATTCCCCCTATGAGGGAGCTTTACGCCAAGATGCACCGTCATGGTGCCATGCTCCGTTTGAGCCTGAAGGAATCTTGAGGTCTAATCTTGTCACCCTAATCACTAACTGAGCATTAGCATCATCTTCAGAAGTTTATAACACTCAGAAACTTGTGTGATGTAGCTCCATATCTGCTATTCTCTCTACAATCATCGGAGTCCATTTTGGACATATTATCATACACATGAAGGTCAACTTACTGGAATGAAATATACGCCTCAAGCTCCTTCGAACTTCACCGTTTTATCTTTCCAATATCATTATTTTAACATTACCAAGTTCTTGCAGGGGCATTTAGCTCGGCTGAAACATTGGATCTCCACCGGTCTTGTTTTCCTCACTCTCGGACTTACTCTGCATTTCACACACTGTGAGAAACACCTTGCCTTTTGATCCAACTCAAAACAGTTTCTTCTCTTAACATATGTGACAAACTCAAAAATGTTTTTGCAGTGATGCCTTTGAACAAACAACTCTACAGTTTCAGCTACATATGTGTGACCTCCGGTGCAGCTGCACTCGTCTTCTCTTCATTGTATTCTCTGGTAATTCTTGCTCCACCACATTGACATTGACAACAACGAAGACGTTTGACAAACATTGGACAAAACAGATTTATTGTTTATTGTTTTGGGTTTTCGCAGGTTGATGTATTGGAGTGGAAACACATGTTTCTGCCTCTAAAATGGATAGGCATGAACGCAATGTTGGTCTACGTGATGGGAGCTGAAGGTATTTTGGCTGCTTTCTTCAATGGTTGGTACTATCGCCACCCGCACAATACACTGGTAAGAAACAGTTACTTACTCTGAAAATCTCAAATGGGCTTTATTCTTCTCCTCTTAGTGGCTCAATTGAAGTTTACTAACTGTATTATGATACCTTTCTAGATAACTTGGATCCGAGAGCATGTTTTTATCAGAGTTTGGCATTCAAAAAGAGTTGGTGTGCTTATGTATGTCATTTTCGCGGAGATTCTCTTCTGGGGTTTGGTCACTGGTGTGTTTCATAGATTCAAGATCTATTGGAAACTCTAAGTAGACCGTGAAAATACCTACTCTATGTTGAAGTTGTACTAGTTATATTAGCTTTTCCCATGAACATGATCGAGAGATGAAACAGAATCTGGGAAAAGATTACGCTTATTATATTTTTATAATTTGTTGGGTTTAAGCATATGAACAACATACTAAGGTTCCACATTAAATAATTATGATTAAAAGGTTAAAAGATAAGTTAACATCTAAAAGATATTTATAAAAAAAAAATGTCGTAAAAAGTATACAAATTTAAGAACATCTATGTTGATCCACGCAGTAAGCAAAAATGTAGATAAATAGTATAAGGAAATACAGATGATTGCAAATAGAAAAAAGTTCAAGTTGCAACAAAATTTATTAATAAACAATTTCATAATTAAGAATTCTAAAAAATTTAATAAATCCATAGCTTTTTTTTTTTTATTATAATAAATCCGTAACTTGAACAGTTGATGACACATTGATGCAAATGCAGAACTGTTGAGATAATCGTTGAAGAAAATACATATACATGAAACCCATTATTCATTTTCACGTCCCGTTTCGTTTTCTCTTGTACCTCCTCTATTCCCTTCAACGATGTGGTGCTAACGATACATAAAATGTATATATTCAAACTGAAACTCTGGAATCATCTAAAGTATATAAACATAAAAAGTTAGAATTCTGTATTCTAAACTTATCATCCACAAGTAATAAATGTTGTAAAAAAAAAAGTAAGAAATGTTGAGTTCTTCTTTTATATCATTCATTGTGATCTCATCAATAATGTATCTCTATACTATTAAAAGAGAAATACAAATTGAATTCATTTTGAATTGGGTCGGGTTAAATTGAAAAATTAACACAAATTGACCCGAAATTAAAGCAAACGGATCTTTGAGTATAATTAACTTTTTTAAACTGACCCAAAATTAAACCTCGACTAATAACGGATACTATTGTTTCGCAATAAATACAATCGGATACCGATTAGAAAAATAAATATTTAAACAATCAAAACAATCTCGACTTATATGATATCTTCTTAATTACTCGATTAACCATTAAATGCATATACTAATAAAGTATTCCTTTAAATTATACCATTAACAAGCAAATCTACCATAAGATCTTTAAATATGGATACTAATAATGTGGATTTTATATTGCTAACAATATAAACCAATATTTTCCAAAACCTATTTCGCTAAGATGATTTTTAGAATTATTCAACAAGATGTATTTATTAAATTTTGTGAATCATCAAAAATAATAATTAATTTTTAATCATTATATTTCACCTCTCAAAGTTTCAATCTCTCATCTAACAAATAAGATACAGATTCTATTATTCCTATGTCCAAACTCTATTTTGTTGTATGACTAAATAATATTCCCATTAGAGCTGTCAAAGCGAGTTGATTCGTCCCGTTAAGCCCGTTTTGTGATAGGCAAAATATATTTTGACATATAGTTAGTCGGTCCACACGACCCGCGGGTAGCATATATGAAACACAAACCCGTCCCGCAAATGTATGCTGATTTGCGGGGTTGTCCGTGGATTTTGTTTAATTAATTTTAAAGTAACGTAAATTTAAAATACTACTAAAATAAATAAATAAAAGAAAATTTAGAGAAAATAATTTTATATATCATTATATTTATAAATATTATAATTTCATTTATTAAAAGTTTTTTAAATTACCAAATATTGAATAAATTATATTTTTATCAATAAATACTAACATGCGGGCTGATCCGCCAACCCGCGGACGAAAACCGATTAAAAATCAATCCATGTGGCCCGTTTATTTACGGGTTTAATATATTTTCCCAAATCTGCCCCATAGTGAGATGATTTGGGCTCGACCCACGGTTTTTGACCTATTTTGACTGCTCTAATTTCTCTGAATCGACTAATTTTAGAATTCTAAAACATAAAATTCCATTTTGTAATCATAATTAATATGATCGGTTTAATTATAAACAATTTAACATTTTCTCTATAATTCGTTATTATGAATATTTATATGTACACTACACGATTCGCTCTACTTAAAACACGCACAATATTAAAATCAACGTATGTAAACCAATATTCTCCCGCGGTGGACCGCGGGTCCGATCCTAGTAACGGAAAAAAATAGCAAACAAAAGAAAAAGAATTTCGAATATATTTACTATTTGTAGCATATGCACCACATTTTTTTTTTTTTTTTTTAATTTTAAATTTCCATTAAATAAACATTACAAGGCCTAAGCCCAACAAAGCCACATGGCCCAAAATAAAAACACAAACTGCAGACAACCTGCACGACAACAACAAACAAACAAGTTAAAGCGAAGCACCCCTGGTTTGAAACACACCAAACCAGGAGGAAAGGAGAGACCCTAAAGAAGAGGAGGGACGTCGAGCCCTAGACAAAGGATCGAGCCTGGCTCGAATCGTGAGGTTGATTTCCTTGATGATGGACTGAGAGGATCGATTTGAATCCGAATGTATGCGAGAATTTCGCTCCCTCCAAATAGCATAAATGGAGGCCTGAAATAGGAGTTTAAGAATGTAAGAGACATTCCTATCGCGAGAAGCAGTCTGAAGCCAAATTAGGCAGTCCATAAATTGACTTGGAGGAGTTAAATTCGCCTTGCGTGTGTAATAACTCCAGATTCCAGAGCTAAACGCACACCTAAAAAAGAGATGGTCGCGAGATTCATCATGTGAGGAGCACAAAACGCAGGCAGAAGGGACAGCCATGTTCCAGCTGCGGAGCCTATCCCGAGTGGGAAGACGATTCCATGCCACCACCCAGCAAATGAAAGCGTGTTTCGGGATCCGATCCTTAAACCAGACAGATTTGTGCCAAGGAATGATTGGGCCAATCGGGTTAAGAGCTAACCAAGTTTTTGCCGTGGAGAACCGGTTAGACGGTGCGTTTTGATCAGGTTTCCACAAATAAGTGTCGTCCTGCTCACAATCAACCATATTCTCAGGAGAAAGTAACAAATTCCGTAAGAGAGTAATTACTGGATTCCTGCTTCTGGAAGAAGAGATCCACCAGCTGCGACCCCTCAGTGCATCCCGCACCACAGCATTCGTAGGCAGTCCAGTAACACGAGGACCAAGAGGCCCAACCAGATCGATTAAAGGCCCATAATCAGTCCAGTTATCGTGCCAGAAGCTCGCGGTAATTCCGGACCCAATATCACAGACCAAAAAAGGCCTAGCACACATTCTTAGCTTACATAAGCTCCTCCAAATCCAACTTCCAGAAGTAGCGGGGTTTAGTTCCCAAAAATTCCTGTTTCTTATGCACCACATTCGGTTGGGGCCGAGAATGTAAATCATGATAAGTTGTAGAATAGAGATTTGTAGCATAAGCACCACGTGAAATCAACGTTCATGTTGCAAACAACCACAGTCACACCTGCAATCAAATTGACAAAGCCCAAAAGGACCTTTAGGATTACGAAGCAAAAGTAACTGCTAGATCAAAAAAAAATTCAGAATCTTTGTTGATTTGAAGAAGGTAAGTGGATGAATAGAATTCACTTTTTGAGTGGAGAAGGAAGACGATGAAAGCGGTGGAAGGTTAGCTTAAAGGACAAACCGGGAATTGGTGAGGGATTGGGCTCAGCGGTCGAGTAAGAAGAACGGTTTCGAGATCTGATTGAAAATTGTCATGTTCGTAAAATTAACTGCAATTTTGTGCAGATTCAATGGTGGTTTAGCAAAAGTGAGTGGAGGAATGATTGTGATAATTGATTCTGGTATATATGGTGATTTGAAGAAGATCAGTTGATAAAGGTGATCTAAGTGGGAAGTTCATTTGAGGATCGTGGAAAACCAAAAAATCCAGATCGTGGTTTTCTTTTTTAATTAAAAAACAAAATCGTCGAAGGAAATATTTAAAATCAAATTTCAGAGAAATTGTTTTTTAGTTGTGTTTAGAAATTGTGGATGACACGTGTCGCAACTACAATCAAATTCATGATAAGTTATGTAATCAAATTCATGATAAGTTATGTATAATGTTTATAAACCTTGAGTCAGAATCCTTTGTTGATGATATAGGCTTTGTATGTGCATTTCAGGCCGGTTTCACCGATCTACCCGGATTGGAACTTAAATATCCGAATGATCCGTATCCTACTGTTTCCCACAGTTTTCTCTTTCACCTACACTGTGGATAGTAATTTTCGATATCCTCAATACCCTTATCCTATCCGCAATTGCTAATTTTCGATATCCTAAATACCCTTATCCGATCTGCAATTGCTATTATCCACGAACCGGTATGCTACCACCGATCTACCCGTACTAGGACTTAAATATCTGAATGATCCATATCCTACTGTTTCCCAATTTTTTTGGTTTTTTGCAATTGCTAAATGTTGATATCCGAAATACCCTTACTCGATCTGCAATTGCTAAATGTTGATATCCGAAATACCCTTACTCGATCCGCAATTGCTATATCCGCGAACCGGTATGGTACCAAAAGACTCTAAAGGAAAGAGAGGGTTTGGTCCTTTGACCTGACGTGGGAATGTGTAAGCGAAGAAAAAGAGCTTAAAGACGTCTCACACCAAAAGCTGCTGCGGAAGAAGAAGACGATTCACTTCTTTCCCGCCACTTTCACTATCTTCCTCCAAAAACTCCTCCGGTGGAGAGCAAAGATGTTGTGGGTCGACAAGTACAGGCCGAAATCACTCGACAAGGTCATCGTTCATGAAGATATCGCCCAAAATCTCAAGAAATTGGTACGCCTTTTTGTTCAAACCCTAGGACATTTTGGGGATTTTTCGATGAATTGGAAGCTAATTTTCGATTCTCCTCTTAGGTTACCGAGCAAGATTGTCCGCATTTGCTCTTCTATGGACCGTCAGGTTCTGGTAAGAAAACCCTAATTATGGCGCTTCTCAAGCAGATATATGGTGCCAGTGCAGAGAAGGTATCTTTCTTTCTTAAACCCTAATATCGTTCTCAGTAGTAAAAGATGAAGACTTTGAACCCTAATGCTGTTGAGAAAAGTAAATTGGTTGTTTTTTGCATGTTGAAATGTTGTTTTTGATTTAGGAAGTTACTTTCACTTTAGATTGATGTTTATCTTCTTATTACTACTTTTTTGGCGTATGGCAACTGAGAAATTGCTTGATTTACTTGACTGCAGGTCAAAGTGGAGAACAGGGCGTGGAAAGTTGATGTGAGTTACACATTGTTTTCTGTTTTCGTTGCTTTTGCTTCTAAAGATCTTGCTGCTTGATGTCTGTATTAGTCTTGTGCCCTTGTTGGATCAGTAAATTGTGTTTCCATCTTACTTGTGAACGCAGAGATGTGAATTGTGTTTGCTATCAATTTCTTTAGTTGGTGGTTCTTCTCGGTTGATTCTTCTTTTAAACATGAAAACATTGTGATACTTGTCAATTTTATTTTCTTTAATCTTCTGTTATGTTAACTTTGCACAATGTAGGCTGGGAGTAGAACTATTGATCTGGAGCTCACTACATTGTCAAGCACCAATCATGTGGAACTTACTCCAAGTGATGCAGGCTTTCAGGATCGATATATCGTTCAGGAGATAATTAAAGAAATGGCCAAGAACAGACCAATTGACACGAAAGGAAAGAAGGGATATAAGGGTAAGAATTAGTGTTCTGCCTGACTCTTTTTCTATACAACAGTATCGTCAGGGCTCTTAGTATTTCTTTGAAGCATCTATGAAGAGTGAGGCTTTTATAAGGGCGTTTGATGTCTTCAATTCGTATACTGCTGTGGTAGATCTGGTCTACATTTTATGGTTCATAGTATAGTTCTCTTTTTCTTTTTCCTGTTCAGTTAGATGGTTGCCTCGTATATCTAGTTTTAAGACTTTTTGTTCAGCTGAATGTTTCTTTATACATCTAGATGGTTCTATGTTTTTGATTATCAACTTGTCTCTGGTCTCTTACATGCCTTTATTACCTGCCAAAGTAGTTCAACTTCTTTTCACATATGGATTTTGGATGATGTCTGATACATGCGATAAGTACTTGGTTGTGCCCAAATGAATTATTTTGTGTATGTGTGTGTGTGTTTTTTTTTTTGGTTTGGGCAGTGTTGGTATTAAATGAGGTTGACAAGCTCTCACGAGAAGCTCAACATTCTCTGCGGAGAACAATGGAGAAATACAGCTCATCTTGCCGTCTCATCTTATGCTGTAACAGCTCTTCGAAGGTTACCGAAGCCATTAAGTCTCGTTGTCTCAATGTACGCATAAATGCACCTTCGCAGGAAGAGGTACGTAAATGCACCCTATTTTTTTGTAAAATATTTGTTTATATAATACATGAGGCTGTGTGTCTAATCCGGTGTTGAGAAACCAAATCTTGTTTTGTGGCTTTTAGTGGCTTTCTAAGAGCTAACTCATATCAAATCCTGTCTTAAAAATGCGCATCCTATGGGAGATCTCGAAATTTCATTTCATTTTTTTGTTCTTTAGATCAACTCGATGTAGAAATCAGTTCGTACATATTCTTGCCATTTTTGCTGTGTACGTTTCACTAGATTGGCAAGAAAAAAACAAGTTAACTTGTCTTTATGTATCTGCTTTTATCCTTACTAAGAAATCTTTCATGACTATCACTGTTCATGTGATTATACTATTGTTCATGTGACTTTAAAATATACTATGAAGAATCTGTAGTTGCTATCAGAAATATTACATAAGATTCAGTGTTTGCTTCATTTGGCCTGTGTAAACTTTCTTGCAAAAATAAAGTATGCAAGATTATTGTTAACAAAAATATAGGTCTCTTTTACCAGATAGTGAAAGTGTTGGAGTTCGTTGCAAAGAAAGAAAGTCTGCAACTGCCCCAGGGTTTTGCTGCTCGTATTGCTGAAAAATCAAATCGCAGTCTAAGAAGAGCTATTTTGTCACTTGAGACTTGTCGTGTCCAAAAGTAAGCATCATAAACTGTATCTATGCAGACAATAAATGAGTTTGATTCTTTTGTTGTTTCAAGTTTTAGAAAATTAACTTTACGTTACTTTAATCTTGATATTCATTTTTTCTTTGTAGCTATCCGTTCACAGGTAACCAAGTGATATCTCCCATGGATTGGGAAGAGTATGTTGCTGAAATAGCAACTGACATGATGAAGGAACAAAGCCCTAAAAAGTCAGACTCTAGTGAATCATTTAGTTTTACAGTATATAACTTGAAACATACTTTGAATTTATCATCTATTGTGTGCTTCTTCAGGTTATTTCAGGTGCGTGGAAAGGTGTACGAATTGCTAGTTAACTGCATTCCACCAGAAGTCATTCTAAAGGTCTTAAACAACCTAATTCAGTTATATATTATGTATTTGGGTCCCTTGTGTCTTTTTTTTACCAATAGTTTATGCTTTCCCAGAGACTTCTTCATGAATTGCTGAAGAAACTGGACTCAGAGCTGAAGCTTGAAGTCTGTCACTGGGCCGCATATTATGTAAGAATATATGTATACCGCTCTTAGTCTTAGCTTGCGAATTTGATTTCTCCTCACCATTATCTCAACATCTGTCTTCTCATTTGAGCCTGAGCTCCCGTCCTTTTGTTTTTATGGCTTGCTTGATGATATTTCTTTGGCTCTTCTTACAGGAACATCGGATGCGATTAGGTCAGAAAGCCATATTTCACATAGAAGGTATATAAAACTCTTCTAGTTATTGCATATGGCCCATATAGGCTACATAAAAAAATATCATCTTCTTACTTTGTGTTGGTGTTACACTGCAGCATTTGTGGCCAAGTTTATGAGCATATACAAAAATTTCCTCATTTCAACATTTGGGTAGAGAAGAGATGCTCCAAATCGAGGAAAAAAGGATAGGCTTGCACTTGTACTGTTTTTTTATGCGTGATCCGAGGTTCTGAAGTTAAGGTTTCTTTTTAGTGGGTCGTTTTAGCTTTTGATGTTGCAGACTTTCTTTCCCTCAACTTGACTGTCTTAATTTCATTAACTATGGAAGTGGTTTGGCCTATCAGTCCGCAACAAAAGACTAGCCGATTCGGAACAACACAACAAAAAGTGGCTATTCGATTTGCAACTCTATGGGCTTGATGAGAGTTAAGAGCTAAAAGATGTTGAAATCCTGTCAAAGTGAACACATTAGATTTTTGCGGTAGGGAACAAAGTCTACCGAACATAGGCTTCACCTTCAGTAGCCAACGAAGAACGAAATTTAGGCAAATCTTCGCCCACAATCCTGAATCTCGTTTGATCATTTCTACTAACCTAACCTTCGCTGATCCAAGTTTTGTCCGCCCATACGGTGCATCAATGTTGCACTTCATGATATATATATATATATATTGATTGTGGACTCCATTCATGTGAGAAGGGAATGAACGCTTAAAATATCGACCTTAAAGATTATAGAGAACATTGGATGAGACAATGAGATTTCGCCATAATTGCTTTCTCAAAAAACTGTAAGTTGATGGATTTAATGTCTCGGAATCCTAGGTCTCCTTCCCTTTTAGGAAAGCTCATTATGTTCATGAATTTCCAATGTCTAATTCCTCGACATGTATTGAAATCCTAGTAGAAGTGGGCAAACATGAATTCATGGCAGAATTTTGGGAGAACCGTAATTCTGAGAATATTTTCCCTTTTTAATTGGGTAATATATTCCCTTTTAAAAATTTCTAAATATCTTTATTTTTATTTTTATTTTTTTTGTCAACCACACATTAATTAAAAAGTCACTCCATAAATGGTTGTCCAATCAGGATGAGAAGAGTTTACAAAAGTAACTTCCGAAAGTAGAAATCTAGAAAATCGAGCTAAACAACCCACCTTAGAATTACATAAACGGAAAATAGAAACGTTTCTGTTTTTAAATTGGATCGTTTCTATATTTAAAAATAAAGATATTTTTAAATATAGAAACGTAATTAGTGGACACGATCCAAATTTGGTAGTATTTGTATCCGACTTTTTGGCAAAACCGGTGTAAGAGTTGGGTTAAATATAACCCGAACAACCAAATTTTTATGAAGTAATTTTTTTTATCGGATCGGATACCATTTGTGTCCGAAAACAATTTAACCACCCGCTAAAAGTACTTCAAAAATACTAGTATAGATTTAGTCATAACGCATTTACAAATTTGTTATATTAATTTCAAACCTACGCAACGCGTAGTACACAACGCCTAGTGTATTATAAATTAGTTATCAAAAAAATCACAAACTAAAATCAATCCTATAGAGTTTAAACGAACTAAAAGTCATTTCAAGTCTCAAGAATTTCATAGTATTTTCCTCGGAAAATGCTGCCAATCAAGGGCGGACCCACTAAAGAAATGGGGAGGTCACCTGACCTGGTCAAATTATTAAAACCTGTGTGAATGCATAGAAAACCTTAAAGTTCGTGTAGCATATTTGGCTAAAATCTGTGTTTTAAAACCCCTTGAACCCATGTTCGACTCTCCAAACTGACTGTTTTGGTATTTTTTTATTTATAATTATGTTTATTCTTTTCTTAGTCTCGAAAATCACTATATCAATTTTAGGATTTAGTATAAGTTTTTGTTGATTATGAAAAAACTTAATTTTTTTCTAATATATTTAATGTTTGTGTAATATATTTCCGTAATAAAGTATATGATTTACATTTTTTAAATCACTAATTTTTTTATGACCCTGGTAAAATATATTCCTGGGTCCGCCACTGCTGCCAATCATAAGAACTTTTGTGTGAACGCTTTAAAAGTGGAAACAACGGGTGTCTTAGGTTCATCGACTGATTCAGAGGCGGAAGGAGGAGTGCCTTCTGCATTCATCTCAGCTCTTAGGTCATGGATGCTTTGCTCGAGCTCATTGATCCTACTACACATCCCCATCTCATTAAAGACATTTCTCAAATCCTTCACTCGACCCGCTTTGCCTAACATGTTCTCATGAGATAGATTAAGAAGACAACATCAGGAGTCAATCCATCTCTAAGCATGTCCTTATATAAACCATATGCTTCTTCTACCCACCCAGCATTACCAAGTCCCTTTATCAGTTCTGTGTACGCATAAACCGTTTGAAAGCAACCTGCTCGTTTCATCTCCTGGAAAAGATGTAAAGCCTTCTCAACTTTACCCTCCTTAAAGTATATTCCAAACAATATATCCTTCATCTCATCAAACAACCTTACCGCAGAATCATCACGGCCTAATTTTTCATATAAGGATATAAGCGCAGAGTAAGTAACCATGTCGGGAAAACAGCCACGTTCGTTACACATCTCAGCGTAAACCTCATGGACTTTCTCATGGAGTCCTTCTTTCATGATCATCGGAATTACCGAGTTGTAAGTGCTAGAAGTGGATATGCACTTGCGTTCTTTCGCCTTGTAAAAAAACGACAAAGCTTCGTTCATCTTCTTAGCACGGCTAAATACTTTTACAAACTCAAAGAGTACTGATCGTGTTCGCGGGATGCGTATCAGGTTTTAAAAATCCCAAATAACACAATTAATAAGCTGCAAGTGCACAACAATCAATCGAAGTACTTAGGATATCGAATCCACAGAGAGAGAAGTAATTCGGACAAGTCGTTAGACAAAGTAAAGCTAGGACAAAATAATAAAGAGGGGTTGGTTGTGGTGTCACGGTTTGCAAGTAAAAGTAAATAAGAAAGCAAGTAAAGAAAGCAAGTAAATGAACGCGGGAAATAAAGCAAGTAAATCAATAAGAGACAAACGTTGGGCATAAGGGTATCGCAGGGGGGTTCAATGATCGCTATCTAAGAAATACTAGAATTAGGTTTGTTTACTTCCAAGTCTCGGACATACGAAACACTAAGATTTGGCTAACCTTATGTTATAGAATTAGTCGGCTAAAATCCTTATACTCTGTTACTCAACTAACGCAGGCAACGACGCATATATCAAAGCAATAAGATCAAGTTCGATTATAGTCCATAAAACCCTATAACTAAGTGGTGTGTGCTTGTTATAACACGATACACATTCGTAAGCTAGGTCTAGCGTATTAAACAACCTTGTGAGCAATTTAAACACTTGGGATCACGAGTTAGGACATAAATCTAACTACATGCATTAAGAAACAACTTACTTAGAAAGAATACAGTGTAAACGATCAAAGAAAACCCTAAGTATCGCCACTTAAACGATCGATCATGTCCCCCCTTTGATTAACCCTTTAAACCCAACTAGAAAACTACTCTATGGTTAAAGAGATCATCAAAGTAAGGTTTGATAAACTCATAAGAAAGAAAGGGATAAGAACTGAATAGGGTTTAGAGATTACTTCTTTGAATGTAGAATACAAGAGGTAAGACTTCACCTTAATAGATCTTAGAGAAAGCAAGAGCAAAGAGAGTGAGATTTGGTGATTCTTCAAAGCTTCAATGGACGACGGCTGCAGCTCTTCGGCGGGGGCAGAGAAAGCTTTGAGGCACGGGTGAAGGCACACTAGGTTTAGGGCTTTCAACATGTATTTATAGGTTTCGAGAACCAAGGGTTAGGTCTAGGGGTAAAAGCGTCTTTTCCCGTAGATTAGGTTAAGTGAAACTTGCGTCTCTGGACAGGGTAGAGGCATTAGTGACCGGGGTGGGGATTAGGAGGCAGCCCGGGCTCGGCCCTTGTGACCGGTGCGGTCTAGAAGCTCCGGAACGGTTGCATAGCTTCTGGCCGGTCTGGACATGTCTTCACTCTTCTGGTCATAACTTCTTAACGGATCAATGAAAAGCTCTGATTCCACTTCGAGACGAATCTTGACTCTTCTAGATTTCCATAGCCACCAAGATCTCTTGATTTAGTAACCGGGAAGACCTCTAACGGATGCCATACTTTTGACGTACAGAAACTGTCTTGAAACGGGTTTTGATCGCCTTTTGGTCTTTAAAGCTCAAAAACTCTTAAAACCTTCTTGGCTCCATAAATACTTGAATAACTCCCTCTTAGCTCTGAAATCACTCCAAATGCTCCCTAAAACATAAGAAAACAATAACAAATATGGGCGAAAATCCCATGTTATCAAGTACCGCTGGGCTAAATCCAACATGTGGGCTACGGATCACCTCTTCCATCGTTGCATATATTTCAGTATTTCACCATAAAGCCTAGCTTCTTCAAGGCAACGTATTAATGTCACGTAGGTGGAGATATCATGATTAAAGTGTCTTACTTTAGCCGCCCACTTGAAAAACTGGATCTTGACATTTATGTTAACTTCTATCTCGAGGACTGAACAAACAAATTGATGATCAACTTTCTGCTCATACCACATAAGGGCACACTCAGTATCGGATTTCTACTTTGGAATGTTCAGTATTCTTATGAGTTTTGGATCATCCAGCATCCGCACAGCCCAGAAAATACGTGGATCAAAACATATGTTTGGGTCAAAACCATTAGAGCAGAAAGAAGCCACATTTTTCTTTTCCAAATTCCTTTTCTCCTAAAGCCCTAAACCATCAATCTCGAGAATAGGCTTAAGAGGAACAAAGTGTGGAGATTACCTGAAAGTATCCGAGGGGGGTACTATCTTTGTCACACTATTCCCAAACTTCAATGTGGCGCTTGAAGATCCCCAAATCTACAAGAATATGCAGATCCAACTCCAAATCACAGGTGCTCCACAAGTCGGAAATACTTATGCGGCGACACTCCACCATCAGATGGCGTACCGAGTCCAAAACCATGCTATGGATCTTAGCCTTTCTAGAGATACAGAGGATGCTCTGCTCATTCAGCTGGAATCACAACATAGCCCTTCATGCATACATATTCCAAGAAAAATCCCTAGAGAAGAACTGGTCAAGTTACTTCCTAAATCATGGGTGACGAACTATGAGAAACTCCATGATAGAAGTATTCCAATACAATCGGTGGATTCCTCTATTCACAGAAGAAAAGACGGAGCCGTAGAGATTGCCTTTAAGCAACAAGAGGAAAAGCCAAGACCAACAACTTTCTGCACAGAAATCAATACGATCTCTCCAACAGACGATAATTTTGATGAGAAACTATACAAGCAACTACCTGACATTCCAATCGAGTCGTTTGATTCACTCGGAGATCCTGTCTACTCATTTGCTGATGATACAAGTCACAAATTTCTTTGATGTTTGTGATTGTGAAAAGTGCTTAATAAACAGTTCTGATGAAGAAGACACACCAAGACGAAGAAAGAATAAGTCTTCTCAACAGATTCTCAAAGAGCGTTATGAGTCGGGAGACCCGCAAGTCGGCCTACTTGGAGAACCGAGCGGAAGAAACTTTGAATACAATGTATTATACCCAAGTAATATTTTGACCCATGCAACTCCAGATATACAAGAAGTTCGGTTGAGCTACATGTGTGGTCCTCCATCAGATCAAGCACCATCATTCCCATCACAAGATTTTGAAGAAAACAACATCAAGCACTCGTGGAAGATCAGAACCCCGAACATAAAAAATCCAGATGATTCAATAAAGCAAATCAGCGCAGCAGAAGCAATGCTAAATTGGCAATCAGAAAATGCGGCAACTCAAAATCACCTACTAAGCCAAATTGACAAAAAGGTAACCTTCATAGACCTCTCCATCAAAGATATAATCAGGAGAATTTCTTCTCTACACCAAGAACTCCTTCATCTAGCCATTACTGTTTCCATAAACTCACTCCTCATGTACCAAAAGGAGTCAGAACTAAAATCCCTCAGAGCCCAACTAAATTCCTTACAAAATCAGCCAAAACCCCAGCCAATGCCATATGACCTTTTTACACCTTATCCTGTTTATACTCCACCTCATACGGCCCAATCACAACATTTATCTTTTTCCCAAGACCCAAGTGTTTTTTGCTCATCCTCCTTCCTACCAACACGAGTTGCTACAGAAAAACAAGTCACAAAGAGGAAACAATCAACAGAAAAAGAAAAGGAATATGTTCCAAGTACTTCAAAGTCCCAAAACCCGCCTGAAAGAAGTGAAGATCAATTTATGGTAGAACACGCCAATCTAATTTCTACTTTCCTTGAGAAGGTTGCTAAACAAGAGACAAGTTTAGAGCGCAAGGTCAAACCAAGAAGATCTGGAAAGATAAAAGAAGAAGCAGAGGACGAAGTACTAATCCCACATTTCATGATGGTAGAACCAACTGTAGAAGAAAATGACATGGTCAGCGATGATGGGAACATATACGAAGAAGGGAGAGAACATAAGAAGCCTCCACCAGAGTGGAATCCAAGGTTTGATGCTGAACCACATCATGGTTTCTCTTTTGATGAAATTCCTTCATCCAAATGGCGAGACAAGATCTATGAGATGCATGCTTGGCTTACAGAACATTTACTCCACCTAGGAGCCACCCTCCCTACGGTCATTGACAAATTAGTCTCCAAATTCCAAGGACGACTCAGACAATGGTGGATAAGCCTTGGTGAGTACCGACAGTTGCAAATACGTCAAACTCCTTCAATTGATGCATTAGTCGGACACATCCACAATGAGTTTCTTGGAGCATGGAATCACTACACGGACCAGGCAAGGGAAGAATATCTCAGCATGAAGTGTTGTTCTTTCAAACGAAGAGATCTAGAAAAGCACTATGGGAGGATGTCTAAAAGGTTCTACGCCCTAAACGGGATAGATGACGTCAATCTTAAGCAATCATACTTAAACTCACTTCCAGAACCACTTGGAAACGAGACTTCTAGGATGCTTTCTTTCAAGAATGCAAATCTTGCTCAAGCCTCTTTAGGAGAAATATTCTAGACATCTCTTGCAGCTCTAGAGAAGTTATGCAATCACTAAAAGTTTTTAAAGCAAATACAAGAAGAAGGAAAACTCCTTGGAAGAGCATGTGATCGTCCAGATCTCTCCATTAAATGCAAACAAAAGAATTGTGGATGCACAACAAGTTACAGAAAAGAAAGAAGATTCAAGAAGAAATGGCACAAGAAGTATCCTTAACTGTCAGGAAGAAATAAGTGGAAGTTCTTCAGGAAAAAGTCACAAAGAGGTTTCAAGAAATCAGATAGATGTTACATCTACAAGAAGAAAGGTCATTACGCAAAACAATGCCCAAACAAGAAGAAAAGAGATAATCTACTCGGATACTTGGCCCAAATCGAAGATATCGATGACTCCGACATTGAATCCATTTTCTCTCTTGACGATGAACCATAAGACAACATAATTCTAGCTATGGGTATAGAACAAGATGAAGACTCTTCAGATGGATCAAGCACTGAAGAAGAAGAAGACGGAGATGACCAATTCATGCTATTTGACCTCTACACATTTGATGCCTACAAGGTTGAAGAACCAAAGAAGGAAGAATTGGCGTACATATCCCAACCATCACCCAACGCCAAAATCTACATCTTCCCGACCAAAGATGACAAACCAATCTCAGTCATAGCTTA